CCTTTTGGAAGAGTTTGAGAAGGATTGGTATAAGTTTTTATTTGTATGTTTGGTAGAATTCACCTGTGAAACCACCTGACCCTGGATTTTTGTTTGTAGGGAGTTTTTAAAAACTACTATTATAGAATCTATTTCACTTTTAGTGATTGGTCTGTTCAAGTTACCTATTTCCTCTTGGTTCAGTTTTGGTGGGTTATATGTTTCTAGAAAGTTGTCCATTTCTTCTAGGCTAGGTTGTGAAATTTGTTGGCATGTAATTGTTCATAATATTCTCTTATTTTTTTTTAAAATTTCTGCAGTATCAGTTGTGATTTCTCCTCTTTCATTTCTTATATTGTTTATTTGGGTCTTTTCTCTTTTCTTCTTGGTGAGCCTGGCCGGATGTTTGTCATTTTTGTTTACCCTTTCAAAGAACAAGCTCTTGGTTTTACTGATTTTTTTTTCTATTGTTTTTGATTACTATTTATTTCCTCTCTGATATTATCTCCTTCCTTCTAATGACTTGAGGTTTTGTTTGTTCTTTTCTAATTCTTTTAGGTGGTGGGTTAGGTTGCTTATTTGAGATTTTTTGTTTGTTTCTTTAAGAAGGCCCATATTGGTATAAACTTCTCTGTAAGAACTGCTTTCACTGCATCCCATAGATCTTGTGTGGTTGTATTTTTCATTGTCATTTGCCTGAAGATATTTTTAAATTTATTATTTGATTTCATCATTGACAGCATAGTTTCAGAAGTTTCAGAAAGACTGCAAAGAAAGTACAGAGATTTCACATGTATACCACCACACCCAGTTTCCCCTGTTATTAACATCTTATATTTGTATGGCACATTTGTCAAAATTAATAAGCCAATATTTATACACTGTTATTAACTAAAGACCATACTTTATTTAGATTTCATTAGTGTTTATATAATGTCCTTTCTTCTGTTCCAGGATCCTATCCAGGATACCACATTACAATTAGTCATCACATCTCCTTAGATTCCCTTTGGCTGTGACAGTTTCTCAGACTTCTCTTGGTTTTGATGACCTTGACAGTTTCAAGGAGTGCTGGTTGGGTATTTTGTATAATGTCTCTCAATTTGGATCTGTCTGATGTTTTCCTCACAAGTAGACTGGGGTTATGGTTTTGAGGAAGAAGATCACAGAGGTTAACTCATTTTCATCACTTCAGATCAAGGGCAGATAGTATCAACATGATTTATCTCTGCTGATGTTGACCTCGATCTGGAGCCTCGGCTAGGATAGCTGGAGAAGGAGGATGGATTTATGAATGTTACACAGGGAGGGTTTTCAGAACTTGACATTTACGTAGATTTGGGGAGGATGGTTGGAGTAGAAGGAAAAGGAGAGGGAGGAGCTGATGGTGGTGCTCTGTGCCAGGAGCCTCCCTGCATACCCAGCCAAACCCTGGTGAGAGAATAGGGTGGAGTGTCGGGCCAGGGAGGCTCAGGGAAACTGTTTGGGCATCTCTGCTCAGGCTGGGCCGAGGGTGGGGGCTTTTCTGTTTTGCTGTGGGCTGAGCTGCTGTCTTCATAGACATGGGGCTTATCCAAGGTGATCATTTACACTCCCTGCAGCAGCATCCCCTTCCTGAACAAACACAGGAGGGCAGCTTGGAAAAGCAGGACTGTGATGACTGAAGCTGTGTTCACCGTGGCCGGGTGCACACTGCCTGGGAGTCAGACATTGTTTTCCCCGGCTTTCTTAGGTGCCAGGGCCTGTGGGGAGGTGATTTCTCTCATGACAGCCACACCCCAGGTTGTTCTTTATTAGTCACAGCACATGCTTCCCTCTGGTCGGTTATGTTCCCCTGATGTTCTGCACGTCCTACCATCCAGCTGTGAGTGTTTACCCTCCCCAGGGCTGGCTGGACTGAACAGCATCTCGTGCAACTCGTTCTAAAGGAACAGCTGGGAATCGGGTTTAAATTGTGGATTTTCAGCATAACTAAGTTAAGAATGCCTTAGACACTTTCGTTTATGGGTGCCAGGGAGAACAAGCAATGAAAGGAGGAAAAAGTGTGTTAGTGTGTTTCACTTAAATCAGAAGTTCCGTCTGCTTCCTTCAGAAGTCACTGGTGTCCCAGTGATTTTTTTTTTTTTTTTTTAATGTGAGAGCATCCTGTTTGGAGATGAGGGCATTCAGTGGCTCATTCTGGCTATTAAGAAACAAAAACACAATTGCTTCTTTAAGGGGTGGAGGGATGGCATGCTTTAAACAACTGTTCCTAGGCCTAAAACTCTCTCAGAATGTCAATATCAAGTTCAGTGTCACGTGATGAAGGCAAGGGCTTTCATCCTTTCTACACAGCTATTTAACCCTTTATTAGGGTAAAGGAGAGCCACAGGATGAGAAATAATCTCCTCTTTCAAACAGGCTCAGTTATCAAAAGACTTTTCTTCCTGATGCTACACACTTAGCCGCCTTGACCCAGGGCTCCTGTCCCGTTTTCCCAGCAGGCAGTTATCCCCACTTGATAAAAGAGGAAACAGAGGCTCAGGGAAGTTGAGTAACTTGTCCCAAATCATAGTCCTTAGCAATTTGAGCCTAGGTCTCAGTGATTGCAAAGCCTGGAATCGTCACCACTGCATTGAGCTGCTACCAAAGAGGGCAACATCCATAAAAGGGATCTTAGCAGAGGCTGGGGAGAGCAAGACCTCAGTGATGGGAGCTGGATATGCTTTCCATGGCCACCTGTACTGTTCACTTGTTGTGTGACATTCAATAGCTTACTGAAATGTTCAGTATCATAGATGACATGCTGTGGAGCATGGTACCCTCTCCAGGATTCTACTGTCATATGGTATTTCCCCAGCAAGCACCAGCATGCCATATTTTAGGGATGCTAAAATCCCATGGACAGAGGAGCCTGGTAGGCTATAGTCCGTGGGGTTGCAAAGAGTCTGACATGACTGAGTGACTTTACTTACTTACTTAAAGATTGAAAGAGGAATTTGCAAAGTGTAGGCCCCAGCATCGCCATACTCAGGGAAGTCCTGGCCCAGACCACTGGCAGCCCTGGTTTGCCAGATGCACCCACTTCCACCGTAGGGTGCAGTTAGAACAGAGGGGGCTCGGGAAGCCGGCTCTGTCCTCTGTTGTTACCAAAGGTTCTGGGCAAGCTAGCCGAGGTTTCAGGCCCACCCCTTACATAACATTTCCACTACAAGGTTGCAATTATTTTTAATTTGAATATGCAGAAAAGTACAAATGAAAAACCAATAATCACTCATATTTCTGCAACCCCAAATTAGCCCGTGTTGACATATTTGTTTCTGGTTTTATTTTACATATCCATACTGTAAAAATACACAAAACTACAGGATAGGTAACTACATTGTTCTTTGAAACAATTAGTAGAATCTGGAATAAGCTAAATTCCTAATGACCATTATTTCAAATCCTAATTCCTCTTCCTCCATCTAGAGATACTTTTACGTTTGTGTGTATTCTCACAGCATTAAAAAAAACACACATATATAAAATATAAAGAATTTTTTGCATGCATATTTTCTCTATATAAATGGCATAGTCTATATCATTTTGAAACTTTCTGTTCTTCATTCAATATATTTTGGATACATTCATTTTGATACACATAGATGTAATTTATTCCTTTTCATGGTTTTAATAGTACTCTATTTTATGAAGAGGCCACATTTTATTTATAAATAAATGCTCTTGAATTTTCAACTTTGTATTATGAATGATTTAAAAATAAATGTACTTGTCCTCAGGAATACCATGCTGCACAGCTCTGGAAAGTTCCATTTACATCTCTGTGTATGTGACTTCCCAGAGCTCTGCAGAACACAGCCTGCCTTGCTGAACTTGGCTGTGCCAGGGTTTCCTTTATTCATTCTGTTGACAATATTTATTGAGTGCCAAGTGAATATAGGGCATTGTTCAAGGACTTTGCTTGTATTAATGTATTTATTTCTCTGAAAAGTCCTAAAATGTTGTGTTTTTACCATTCTTATTTTTCAAACGAGGAAAATGAGGGGAGTTGGGGACAGTCAGTGGGTTAGCTGAGGTCATATGTAAGCTGTAAGCTGCAAAACTGGCACGATGACTTGAACAGCTTGAATCCTGAGCCTCGGTGCTGAACATTCCATTAAAGTCTCCCCTATGTTTAACTCTCTACTTGGTGGGTGTCCCTTTCTCGACTGTGAACCCTTAACTGCAGGGACCATGAGAGCCACTTATTTTGTACCTCCTGTGCCCAGATGTGCGGACCTCCATTAGGGGGACAGTAATGTTCCGTGACCCACTTTACTCACTGTTCAGAGCTCCTCTCCTAATTGACTTTTCCTCTTCCTTTCTCATCTCTCTTTCCCTTCACAAGCATCTTCTCCTGCCTCCTTCCCCATAACAAGCCTACCCCCTCGCACAGGCTTTGAAAAGTGACACAGGCACATCCCAGATGCACGAAGAGGAAAGCTTTTTAACGCGCCCCAATGCGGGAAAGGCTGTTGTACCAAAGGGCAAAGGAGGACTTGGAATTTTTGCTGGGCCTCAGGAGACCCAGCCCTGCAACTCTGTAGATCCACAGGGGAACAGGAGGCTCTGCTCTGCTCACGCGTTCAGGGGACAGTACTTCTAATTCCGTCCTTCAGCCGGCAGGCACGTAGGCAACTTCCTCTTACAAAGTCGGCTGGAGCAACTAAACAGGTGCAGGTCTGAGGAAATGCAGGCCAACTCGAGTGAAGTCCCGGCTGCGTGGGAGATTAAATTGATAAGGGACTTTCCTCCCTTAATTTATTGGCTTCAGCCTCCCCAGTCTGCCCTGGACTCGACCCCTGCAGCTGGAGCCCAGAGCCCCCTTCTCCATCTACCTCCCGACCTCTCGGAGAGGGGTGGGGATGGGGGGCGGTCACCAGGGCGGGCCAACTGAGGCTCCAAGTGGGAAGGCACACAGGGACGAGGGCCAGGTCGAGTTCCCGCGGAGGATCCGGTAGGGGAAAGGCGAGCTCACCCCACGTGGCTTTCAAGCCCAGGCGCCCCTCCCGCCGGGCCACAAAGGGAGCCCTCAGCCAGGAGCGCCGGGCGCACAGGAGAGCCGGCGGTACGTGCAGGCGGCCGGCGCGGTCGAGGGCACCCACCCGGGTTTGGGCTGCGGTCGAACGCGCTGACTCACGCTCTCGCTACGTGAGCTGCGAGCCGGCCCGGGCCCGGCAGGGCGCCAAGCTGGGGCCGCCGCCCGCCCGCGCGGTTATTTATTTATTCGGGGGCAGCTGCGCGCGCAGGCGCTGTGCGCCGCGCCGTCCCGGCCGCCGCCTGCCTTCGGAGGACTTCATCCCCCTCCGGCCCGCTTGCTGCGGAGATTGAGCATCTTTCTGACTTGATGGCTGCTCCGGGGCTGTAATCTTTGATCCCCGGGGATTTCTGCTAGGAAGGGGCAACCAGGGTCACGTTAGGTCTGCCCTGGCGCAGGGGCGCTCTGGGCTAACCTTTGCTTGCTCTTGGGGGACTCCACGGGGCCTTGGCCTCTGGGTTTGCATTTTACTTAAGGAAAGAGCCATCCATCTCTTAGTCCACGTGCTCTCTTGCACGTTTTCATCTCAGTTGATCCCTAAACAACCCTGTGACATGGAAATGATAGGCAGGGCAAGTGCTTGTCAATCCTGTTGACAGATGAGGAAACCAGAGCTTGTGTTTAGGTGTTTTATCTGTTGACAGGAGAACGATTTACTATAACTTTTATAAATACTTAGCTCTTGGATAGTAAGTGTTAGTGTTGGCGTAGCCTGTTTTTGCGACATCTCCTATTCTCCTGTGTTCAATGGAAAGACAAACGAAAATGGGAAAAAGAGGGGTGGGGGAGGATGGAGAGTTTGTATTAGTAGGTGTGAAATCTCACTACAGCTCTGGTGACTTTTGGTAGATTTAAGTAGAAACAGCTGAGCTTACAGTAAAACCAGTGTTTGTGGAGTAACTGGCCAGTTCTTAACTCCGCCAAGCGAGTCCTTGGATGTCTGCCACGCACGCGGCAGGGCCTGGAGCCCCTACGCCTGCATCTGGGTCGTGACACCCTGGTTAGGCCTTTGAGAGACTCGGCACAGGGCCGCTGACATCTCTGAGTTTATTTTCACGTCTTCGCCTTGCTGTGAGGCTCAAGATGAGAATGTATGTGGAGGGGTCTCCTTAACTACCATGGTTCACAGAAATGAGACATGGGTTTTTTTCCTTGGTCATAGAATACCAGAGATGGGGAGTGAGAGACACTGTCTACCTCCCAAAGTGTGTATCACTCTTGTTTGCTCCTCTTGGGATAAACCATGGAGAGCATAGTTTCTATGGAGTCAGTAGGAGCAAAATTGAGATTCATTCTCATGGAAATTCTGCGTTTAGATACCGAGTCCTAGGTTACACTGCAAACACACAGCTAAGCCATTTGTGGAGAACTTTTCAGTTTTGCCTATTTTGGGCGGGGTGGGGTGTGTGTGTGTGTGTGTGTGTGTGTTATGATTTCTTTTTTCTGTTGATTTTTGTTTTTGTTTTTTGCAGGGGCAGGGGTCTTGCCAAACTCTATAAAATTAACACATGCTTTCATAAAAGCAAATGAAAATATAAAGAGAAAAATCTTTATAATCCAACATTCATATACCAATAATGTTAGCATTTCAGGAATATTTTTGTCTAGGTATTTAAAAATTCATTTAATATAATTGAGACCACAGTCTATGTTATTTTATATTGTTTGCCTTGTTTAATGTTTTAGCGTGTTCCCCCATGTTATTAAGCCTTTTGTAGCCAATTTTATGAACGTATTTTTTTCAACAACTTCCTATTGTTGGAAGTTTAGGTTGTTTCCATTTTTTCTTTTTCTTTTTTTTTTGCTGAGCAGTACTTCAGTGAATATCTTTGTGTATAAATATTTGACCACTTTATTTACTATCTCCTTAGCATGGGCTTCCTGAAGTGGAATTTTTAGATCAAATAACATAAACATTTTCGTGACAAGATCACATTGCTAAGTAGCAGTTTCCATGAGTGTAGGGACTTAATCTGTCTTCCTTACTACTGCATTGCCAGCATCCAGCATGGAATTGGTTCTTAATACTCATTGTCAAATCAATGAATGAAAAATTGTCACTTGCAGCAGAACTTGCCTAGGAAATATCAAAACTAAAGATTGTGTTTCATCCCAACTGGTTCTAACGTGCTCAAACTAATAAAGGACTGTGAACTTTAAGGGACTCTCCCTACCCCCAACCCCCAGAGTTGACAAAAGACTTTTCTCACTGGTGAGTAATGGGACTTGTTAAAACCAAGTGCCTACCCAGAACACTAGTTTTCAGTGCTTAGTTAAAATAACCAGGCATTCCTCCCTAGCAATTCAAAAACAAAAAGAGAAACAAACCTCCTCCCCATACTCCGCCTTCTCAGCTTTTTCCTCCCCAGGGAGCTAAGTACTCTGCTAACATCGACACTGGTATGTGTTCGCTTGACTCAACTGTGATTGAAAGCAAGCAAACAGATGAACTGCTGGTGATCTTAGTCTTTATTCTTTGACAGATGAGTACTGCCAAACTGAAATACATAAAGTGTTTGGCAATCTACATTCTACCACCAGTTCCTAAGCATGCTTCATTGCTCCTTTGCTAACATTACATATTATCATTTTCATAACCTTTGTTACTTAATGGAGTGCAATGTGAGATCTGTTTTGCCTATTAAATGAGCTAGACTGAACTTTTTAATACAGATGTTGTGATTATCTACATTGTTACTTATTTATCATTTGAGAGCTTAGTGGTTTAAAAACTCAATTTGTGTGAATCTTTTATATACCTAAGGATATTACAGGGTAAATTCTTCATATTTTTAAAGTGAAGCAATGCCAGGAGGGTCCTGATGCAACACATTATTTTTTTCCCTTTTTTTTTAAATTGAAGTATAGTTAATTTACAATGTTGTGTTAGTTTCAGTTGTATGGCAAAGTGATTCATTTGTACATATACATAAATTGTTTTTCAGATTTTTCCATTATAGGCTATACAAGATATTGCATATAGTTCCCTGTGCCATCAGGTCCTTGTTGTTTATATAGAGCAGTGTGTGTGTGTTGAAGGCTTCCCAGCTGGCTCAGTGGTAAAGAATCTACCTGCTGATGGAGGACATGTGGCTTCGATCCCTAAGTCAGAAAGATTCCCCGGAGTAGGAAATGGCAACCCACTCTAGTGTTCTTGCCTGGAAAATTCCATGGACAAAGGATCCTTGTGGGCTACAGTCCATGGATATGACTGAGCGCACACGCACATATATATGTTAATCCCAAACTCCTAATTTTTCTCCCTACTCCCTGCCCCTCGCTATCTTCTTTGGTAACCATAAGTTTGTTTTCTATGTCTGTCAGTATATTTCTGTTTTGAAAATAAGTTCATTTGTATCACTTTTAAGATTTCACATATAATATGGATTTTATACTTAGACATGTACTGTATATGGGCCTAGGGCTTGTCTTTCTCTGACTCACTTCACTTAGTATGAAAATCTCTGGGTTCATCCATGTCGTCGCAAATAGCATTATTTCACTCTTTTTTATGTGCATCACATGGTTTTGATGTATTAAGTTTTTGAAGTAACTGGTTGTTTAAATCACTTATTGCTGGAGGTGTTCTTAGGTGGAGTGGATTGCTTCCAACCACTGGGATGATCTAAGTAAAGGCTGTTTGGTCCCCTGGGAGGGACTGAAACATTGAATGAGAGGTTGGACTAGTGACCTTTAAGTTTTCCTAAAACCTTAAGATTTCTTCTAGGATACAATGCTAGCATGGTTTTGGGGGCCAGTTTTCCTCCTATCACTCTGTTAGATTAACTGGATCCTGTAAGAGTGATTTCCTGAGGATGATTTCCTGAGTCTATTACCATTTTTTGAGAAAAAGTTAGAGTGATAAAAGAACGTGAATGTGCTTTGCATTGCTGCTGTTTCCTGGGCATTTCCAGACTTTATCAGAAATAAACATGCATTTCTACAGAAAGTTTTTACATGAAGATTAATTTTGCAAACTTTTTCTAATTCAGCTTTTGTTCTCTTCTATGTAATAAAAAAACTATAAACATATTTACATATTTATTCAATAAATTTTCTGTATTATTATATGCATGTTTACATATACATAGCTATGCATGATTTTGCATAAAAACCATGTATACTGTATTTGATGGGTATTTTAGGGAATTTTTTTTAAAAAAGGTGACTGCTTATGTAGTCTTCAGTTATGTGCCTACTTTGGAACTTACTTGAACATAGAAATCAGCTTCACTGTGATGTCTGTGTGGGTTTCTATTGTGGTTGTACTTGATTGCTGAATCTTGACATAGCATAAATGACATAGGTCTCATAAATGCATTTATTATGTGAAAGCTGTGTGTTCTGACAGCTCTTATATTTCCCTTACAGGAATGCTTATTACCATTGTAACTGCATATTATGGTTGCCAATCTTCCTTATAGATTATAAATTTTGGGAAGGGGGAAAGGAGCAAGTAGGACTTGATCCTGTTATATCTCTAGTATTTGGTTTATATTCTATGAAATATCTAAAATGTTGGTATATTTGTTGAATTGCATTACATGTAATAAATTATATGTAAAAACTAGATGTGAACATGTGCAAGAGGTTATGCATTTGGTATATGTTGAGAAAGCTGGCTGGGTAACCTCTGGGCATACACGGGGTCATCATTAGGAAGAAGTGAAATGATTTGTGCACCTACTAGTTACTGGGCACTAAGCTGGCCTGTCGCATGTGTTACCTTATTGAATCCTCACAACTGCTCTTCCAGAATGCTTTGGTTTTTAGTTTTACAAAGGAGGATTCTATGGTTTAGAGAGGTTGGTTTACTTTGTCAATGAGTAAATGGCGGAACTGGAATTTGCTCCGAGTTCATGCTGGCTTGAAAATCTAGGTTCTTTTCTCTTGACCAGGCTGACTGCAGTAAGCGGCGCAGTTGGATCTGGGTAGTGTGGGGGCATGGCAGGGAAAGGTGTGCTGATTTTGAAAGGACTTGGTTCCAGAATCCTAGATGAGTTTTTTCTTTGAGTCTCTCCTCTCCACACATTCTCTTTCTATTTCTCCATGCCTTTTTCTCCAGCTCTCACTTGATCAAGAGCCCAGTGCCTTCCTGATGTCTACCCCCAGCTTCTGACCTTCTCTTGTAAATAAGCCACATCTGGCTGTCTGGCTCTAGTATTGCCCATTCATTTAATGGGATAAACACCTCTGGAAAAAGGATGGGAAAGAGTTGTTATGTGATTTCTCTTCCTACCTCATGTGCTCTGTTACATACAGATGCTAGTTGTAGGGATATTAAAGTTGGCAG